GCCAGTATGATGTTTGGCATTTGTCAAAGTGGGTGATGAAAAAACTTTCCAAGAAGGCTAAAGTGAAAGGCTGTGAAGATCTTCCATGGATCTGTTCAGTCTCAAACCACATGTGGTGGTGTTCTGCAACATGTGATGGCAATGCTGAAGTGCTGAAAGAAAAGTGGACGTCAGTCCTGTTTCACGTGACAAACAAACACAAGTGGAATGGCTACACCCACTTTCATGAGTGTTGGCATCCAAGACTGACCAGTGCTCAGATCAGGAAAAAGAAGTTGCTGAAGCCTAATACCCCTGCCTATATTGCCCTTGAGGAGGTGGTGCTCAACAAGAAGATCTTGAAAGACATTGAAAAGCTGACTGAATTTTGCCATACTGGAGAGCTTGAGGTGTATAACTCTGAATATTTGAAGTACTGCCCAAAGCGTGAGCATTTTTCACACAAAGGCATGGTGGCACACCCACAACTCACAGCACTCGAGCACAATGCAAACTGGGGAAGAAAGCAGGCAGTCATACAATCTGGGCCATGTGCTGGTGAAGCCAGGTACAAGGTCAGCTTCCCAAAGGCACAGAAACAGTGGGTGGCTAAGCCAGTAAAAGAAGAAAATCCTATGCACATGTTATGGTCTTGATGGACACTGTTGCCAATGCCTGTGAAACTGGTGAAGTTAAAATTGAACCTGAAGCATGCCATCTCCCTAAAGACATCTTGGGGACTGTACCTCCAAGCAAACAAGAACTTGTCCATAAACACCGGTCCAGGTTTAACCGATAAAAACTCTACAATTTGGCTGCACAAATGTGGAGTAATTTGCATGCAAATGTGATTCAGTACAACTCAAATGAGTGAGAGTCAATAATTACGGCTATAATGTTTCCCTGGGGAATCAGTGATCTCAGTGCATTGAAGGGATTTGGATTGTTTTGACATGACATTTTATCATCCATTATAATATAGGTAGGACCCTGTGCACATTCTGATTGGTCAAAAACCCTTGTTTTATCAGANCATGCCATCTCCCTAAAGACATCTTGGGGACTGTACCTCCAAGCAAACAAGAACTTGTCCATAAACACCGGTCCAGGTTTAACCGATAAAAACTCTACAATTTGGCTGCACGAATGTGGAGTAATTTGCATGCAAATGTGATTCAGTACAACTCAAATGAGTGAGAGTCAATAATTATGGTTATAATGTTTCCCTGGGGAATCAGTGATCTCAGTGCATTGAAGGGATTTGGATTGTTTTGACATGACATTTTATCATCCATTATAATATAGGTAGGACCCTGTGCACATTCTGATTGGTCAAAAACCCTTGTTTTATCAGACTATAAAACATAGAAAAAGTAGGTTAGCTTAAGGTCATTTCCCGGTATTGCATTGTGCATCCCTACTACACATAATTTCATGCGTGATTAGCACGCGCATTAAAAAATGGCGGCTTTTTCTTTGCAGCTGGACCTCACCATAGAGGTAAATCATCATTTTCTCAAAAATGAGCACGGTGACCTATCATTTTTTTCTGTTGTGTTGAATTGAGTCAAATTTCTCCATGTAAAATAAATATGGGTTAATTCTCAGTGTTGAGCAAGAAACAATCGTCGGAAACGTGAATTTAGCAAGCAATC